GTAGTTTGAAGTCCGAAGTCAACTGCTGGTTAATAGACTTGCATAATATACTTTCAGTTGGCTGCATTATTCCATTGATTTGATCACATCTATAAGATTCATTGGCTCTCAAACCACCTTATTTCTATTTTCTAGACGCAAGATACTGAGACAATGCCCCCACCAACAAGCACTGTAAGACGAACCACGCGTTTGAGATCATCCACTGCTTCGACTAGAGGAACAGCTAATTTGTCCACTGCTCCACCACTTTCCAATATCCGTCGAACTCCTCGTCGTGCTTCAACACAAAGTTCCAATAGCAGGAGCTGAGTCGCACCGCACTCAACACACGCGTGTATCGCCTTTTAATGGGAGATTCTCTTTTGCCGTTTTCGTTGTTTTCCATTTTTCCTTCAATGCATATAAGTGTATTAACCTAATTTTTGGACTTATGGATAAATGTAGAAGTATTCTTGCACTTGCGTCTTATAAGAACTGGTCGTTGTTGTCTCCCAGTTGTCTAAATATTTCCTGGTTATTGGACATACGGCTAAGTGGTAAAATTTTGATTTCTTTGGGTATGGAAATGATTTTGTTTAGTTATGAACTGTGGGTTTTACTCAATGTTGTGTCCTTTTAGCTTGCTCGACTTAGTCAAGTGGGTGGGGGGGGGGGGGGGGGGGGAGTGTAATTAGCTAACGTAGAACCGCTTTATACTAAGTGAAATGGGGTGTGCGGTAGACTTACCTCCACTTGGTGCACCCTAATCGATGTGGACTCATTCGGCAGAGTCTTAAAACCGATAGTTGACTTCAAACGTAAATCTATATAGGCTTTGGAATAGTTAACAGTAGTTCGTTAGTTGACTTCTAGCTTCCCGGTATCTCTGGGTTTCTGTTGCTGTCTTTAGAACTGGACACCGAATCAAGTGGGTCTTCTCAATTTCATCCTGTTGTGTGTTAGTTGAGCATATGCTTCCTTTCTGTGAAGGTGCTTCGTCAGGCAATCGTGTCCGGTACGTAGTGTAAACTCTTTAATTGCTTCAATTTTTGGCCAGTTGGCTATGCTGGAAAATGTCACTGTCCACTGCTTCTCCTTTGTTCCAGTTTTAAGTTCGTAACTATCATGAAGCCTGGCATTTGATATATTAAGTGAAACGAATGGTAACTGAGGCCAGTTGTCATTGGACAGTGTCAGCAAGTTTCTCCTCCTAACTCGAATATGCCTAAATGAGGATATTTTTTATTTATTTCAAATGGCAGGCGTTTTGATAGCTATCATTAGCCATTTAGCTGACTTCAGGCTTCACAGAGAGGAGGAGGAACACCAAAGTGACAAATAGTCGAGAGGGATGAAAGAATAATGATTCACAGATGTGACAGAGGCAGGCAAAAGAGCAGAGAAAAGGTAAGACGAGTACTGTGAAATGGGTTGAATATGGCATACAGTAGGAGTAGTTTGAAGTCAGAAGTCAACTGCCGGTTAATAGACTTTTTGCCGTATGAGAATACATTGCCCAGGGTGCATCACGTGAAGGTAAGTCTATCGCACACCCCTAAATGAGGATATTTTACGTAGGGAGTGGGTTTGTGCTGTTTGATAAAGTAGATCACATCCAGTGAACAGACTGTCTTCATGGTGGCATGAAGTCTATTTTGTTAAAGATAAGCGCTGGATAGTCTTGGGGTCCTTCTATTGGCGACACATTTCAGCCTACGACTGTTTTGCTATGCAAAAAAATTAGAGCGGCTTCAACATTCAATCTTTTAAAGGGGAAAACGATTTTGCAATGCATGGACCGGCCCATGTCTTTCCACACAATGAAGGCCTTAATCAGAAGAGAATTCCAGACCTCAAGGTGTAACGAACTTAAAGCTCGAACNATAGAATACTGGAAGAATTCATAGGGAATTATTTATTTATTTCAAATGGCAGGCGTTTTGATAGATATCATTAGCCATTTAGCTGACTTCGGGCTTCACAGAGGGAAGGTTCATCAAAGTAGAAGAAAGTCGAGGGGCGGGGAACAGAAGAGCGATTCACAGATGTAAAAGAGGCAGACAGACACAAAGGTAGAGAAAAAGGTGACGCGAGTACTGTGGAAGGGGTCGAATATGACAACCAGAGGGGTGGTGGTAGTTTGAAGTCAGAATTGAAAATTACTGCCTGGGTCCTTCAGTTTAACCAGGCAGAGATTTACGATTCCAGGGTCTTGAATTGGTACTGTTGATTATTTTGTCTAAAAAAAGTTTCAGACAGAGGAAACCCGTGGTGTCTCATTGACATTTTTCAACTTTCGCTCCGGTTCTCCTTGGAACCTGATGACGTATACGCAATTTGGGGGGCAAGAAAACTATTTAGATTTTGATGACATGCCTAAGATAAATTAAGAGATTTGGCTCTTCTATTAGGTTGGCGACTAAGTCATTGCCGATTTCAAATAAGAGGGCAAATTCGGAATTTTTGTTTAAAATTATAACTTTATTCAATTAGATATTGGCCGTTCTTGTCGATGACCTTTTTCCATCGTTCTGGCAGATTAAAATTTCCCGTTCGTAAAATGTCTGGTCTTTGCTATTAAAAAAACTGAATTAGGTGTGATCCGACATCATCCGCGTTTTTACAAATTTTACCATTTAAAGAGTTTTGCATGGAACGAAACAAATGGTAATCCGAAGGCGCAAGGTCAGGGCTATATGGTGGGTGTGGCAAAACATCCCAACCCAGTTCCAATAATTTTTGCCGAGTAACCAAAGATGTGTGTGGCCTTGCGTTATCATGATGGAAAACAACACCCTTCCGCCGATTTGATAATGCCGGCCGCTTATCTTCAATTGCATCCTTCACTTTTTCGAGCTCTTCAACATACACATTTGAATTTATCGTTTGGTTCTGCGGCATGAGTTCAAAATACAAAATTCCTTTGTGATCCCACCAGACTGACAGCATAATCTTTTTTAGGTGAATCTCTGCTGCTTTTGATACTGTTTGGGCTGGTTGATCTTGTTTCACCCATGATCTCTNTTTTACGTAGGGAGTGGGTTTGTGCTGTTTGATAAAGTAGATCACATCCAGTGAACAGACTGTCTTCATGGTGGCATGAAGTCTATTTTGTTAAAGATAAGCGCTGGATAGTCTTGGGGTCCTTCTATTGGCGACACATTTCAGCCTACGACTGTTTTGCTATGCAAAAAAATTAGAGCGGCTTCAACATTCAATCTTTTAAAGGGGAAAACGATTTTGCAATGCATGGACCGGCCCA